GTAGGTGCGTTTGAGAGAAATTTGCTGCGTTGGGAAAAATTTTTTTCCGGTTCTTGACTCGCGTGATTTCGCCTGTTTCATTTCATGTGTACTATATACCCCCCCCCCCCCTTTGACGGAAAATTTTTGGGTGAAAAACTGGACTGGAAAATATGCGAAATTGGTGGGTAGGTGTGGGGGAAGGGGGAGGTTGTAACGAGACTCTCATTTAGGGGGGAGGGGGTGGTACTGACACCCTGTCTCGGAGGGAGGGTCGTACCTACACTACCATTCCACACACCACGTGCTGTACCCTGTTCTCTTGTAGTTCCGCCATCGCGTGCCCCCCCCTAACCGCCTTTGCCCTTTTTTTGCTTTCCGAATCGAATCCATCCATGGCGATCATTTGTAGGTGGCTGGAGATGATCAACATTACTAGTAATGAGTTCAAACGTCTCCAAGGTCGACACAATGACTTTGAGAGTCCGACTTATGACATGCGAAAGGGGTATGTTTCTTACTGCTTCTCCTTTCTCTTTCTTTGTCCACTTAGTTTGCGAACTTTTTCCGGATTATAACTTTTAACAACCCTCCAAAATGTCTATTTCATTTGCTTTACAGACCCCTATGGCAACAAAGCCCTCCGCATTGCCTTCCAGCACCAGCGGTCCACCGCAAAAGCAGCAGTATGGATTCACAAGTTGTAGCAGCTCATGCTCATCTAAATCGTGAGTGCTACCAATTGATGGTTTATCGATTACTAGGTCTTGAAGTGAGTTGGTCCAGAGCCTGAGGGGAGCCGTAGAGCACAATGTATCGAGTTCGAGTGCGGGCTTGACTCCGCCCACACCATTAGCCTGGACTGCGCCTTCAGGCTCACCTCAGCTCCATGTATCACAGATGAAGGATCGGTCACGCGCAGAAAAGGTTTGGTGCGGCACACGGCAGGGCACATCCTGCCACTGGGGCGGGGAGAGGTGGGAATCTCAGAAAACACGACCCTCTCAGAGTTTCCTCCCATCTTGTTTTTTTAAGAAGGGGGCGAAGGGTCAGGGGGATACCGTGCCAGGGGAGGAAAGGTGGGAATTTCAGAAAACACGACCCTCTCAGAGTTTCCTCCCTTTCCTCCCCTGGCACGGTATCCCCCTCTAACTCTTCGCCCCCTTCTTAAAAAAACCAAGATCGTCATAGCCTGATAGCCGTCGAGCGGAAGTGAAGTGGGTTGGGAGGGTAGGGGGAAGTGGGTAGGTAAAACGGGAAAGCAAGAAAATTCGCGCTGACAAGAACATCGTAACCGTGACTTTCTCTTGTTTGGAGAAGCCTCCCTTAGAAATAAAACAGAAAGCAAAGCAGCACCTGAAGAGCAGCAGCATTTCTACGTTGATCGTGTGGGCGAACTCAGTCCTAGTACTGTGCATCCCTTGACGCCCCCTTCTTTACCTCTGAGAAAGTATGAGCACATCTGAAATGAAGGCAAGCATGGCTGAATAAATAGCAAGCCTGACTCCGCCAAAACAATCAACGTGGACCGTGCCTTTAAGGGCTGGCGCGGGAGACCATCGTGGTCCAAAAGTCCCACTGGCCAAGAAAATGACAGACATTTTGTACAGAGCAACTCTATTTTTATTTCAGACATGCACCGAGCCACCACATTATCGTCAACTGAACAACTTGACCGAAATCATGACTTGAGTGATTCTCCGACTCGTACGGCGCCCCTGCACAAGCTGAGCGTTGCCAGTTATCACCCCTTGTCCACCAGCAAAAGCAGTGTCGACCTTCATATGACGCTTGCAGCCGAAACGGCGTCAAGTACGGCTTTTCTATCGTAATCATATCGTAATTTTGAAAGTTAGAACAAGGCTGTGAAAGAATATAGTGTATTCCAGCATGTTCCGCCGAATGCCCTCCTCTAATCAGATCGACATCAAACTCATCAGATCGCGAAGCAGAGGGAAAACGATCGCGTAGCCCTTCACCACTGCTCTTGGACGTCAGTAAAAGGGTAGCGGAGGAGCCTCAGGAAATGTTTCAACAGCCTGGCAGAGCAAGGTAATTAAGCAGCTTGCGTTGAAAATATATATAGCAATAAAACACGAAAACACTACGTTTGGACACTATTTGGCTTTGTGGGGGCATTTTCCGTTTCAACGATCGCTGCCGATTCCACCTGTGGAGGTCTGTAAATTCCTGTTATGCTGTGCGGTAGCAGGAGCTCCGTTCATGCTTGACAAGAGTCTACAGTACTTACCAAGGTGACCTGTAATTTAACAGGATCTAGTAAAAGAAACCAACGAAAGTTCGCATGCCCCTTCCATGCCAAACAGCGCTCTACATCTAACATTTGGGGAGGATGAGTAACAGAAAGTAGTTAAACAGTTGATAACTGAGCTGATGAATTTGTACGAGGTTCATAAGCCGCAAAACTAGTGAGGAGTTGCTCCCAAAAAAAGTTATTTTTAGGGCATCGATTGTGGGTGAGCGCCGATGTGGCCGGCCTGCGGTTTAGGTGCAAGCCGTTGTCTATGCCCTTTCAACAAGCCCACTACCGTCCGTTTTCTTAGTTTCTGCATGCTGACTCGCGAAAAATTGAAGTACAGCGGCTTATAGTGAGATGATAGAGAAGTGCATACAGGGTTGGAGGGAATGATACGACATAGTCAGAGGGAAGGAAGCAATGACCCTTTGAGGCGCCGCAGGAGAAACAGGTGGGATAGCAGCTACCGGTCCGAGAGCTCGCGCTTGAATTTAAAGGGGGGGGGGCTGGGGGATGTATGGAATGCACTCAATTGTGCATACCGAAAGCTGGATCGCTTACCTACGGCGAGGTCGAGAAGTGAACGCTAATTCCGTTCTCCTCCAGGCTAGGGACTAGTGTTATGTGTACTCGCCGATCCTACACACTCAGTTTTACGCGCAGTCTAGGGTACTGTATACCGCCTGTTTCGCTAAGGTCATAATTCAGTGAGAGGAGGCGCAGCCAAAGCCGTTAGGCAGCGTTCAGACTTCACGCTTCGGTCGCGCGTTCGACGCGATCGATGCGCATGCTTTCGACTGCATCGATCGCGTCGAACGCGCGACCGAAGCGCTGCAGTCGCGAAGTCTGAACGCTGCCTTACACTCTTCGTGTTGACAGTACAACGCTTTCACATGGTTTTGTCCTGTGGTAAAATAAAGGATTTACAGATCAGAAGTCTCCACTCCAGCGGAAGAAGTAAGTGGTAGTTCGACAATAACAGAAGACGAGCTTGTTCCAGCTCAAGGAGGCCGACGGTTCGAAAAGAGGTATGTCCCCCGAAGTTTCTATTGTTTCTTGGTTTCACAAGCACACTGTATGTAGGTACCACACAGCAGACGGTATCGACGTATTGAAACCCAAAGGAGCGATGTTACAAGGCGGTATTCTTAAAAGATTCTCTTGGAATGTCAGTTCAGCCGTTGGAGCAAGTAGTCGAAAGATATCGGCTAGACTAGGAGAGGTAAGAGATTCTCGTCCTGAGTGGAAAAGGCGGATCGTGCTAGGGATTCGATAGTTTCAGCATAGTAGACGACATTCTCAAGCGTCCACGGCTGCCTCTTCAGAATCGTTTGGTAGTTCAACGTCTGGCATCTCGTCGTCATCATCACATGCTGAAAATGAGGTACATTCAACTCGAAACCTTCTGAATCTATTCCCAGCGGCTCGCGCTACGCGATGGGTTTTGGTGGGAGAAGCAATGGCTTTTGATCTCCGTACGAGCTGCAACCAGGCTGTGCCGTCCATGTATACCTTCCTTTCGCCGATAACCAGCCAATCTATTTCGTTATTCTAATTCTTTTGTCTGTTATGACATGTTCTGGTATTTTTCGATTATGGAATAGATGCCAAATATCATAAGAAGCGGCGCTGAGAGAAAAACGTATGACACACCATGTGTGTCAAGCGGTCCGCAACCTGTTAACGTGTCACCACGATTCCCTATATAGACAGATTTCGCGGCGCATTCCAGAAAGGACTGAGGAGCACCAACAGCTTCACCTCCATGACATCCTCACACACTGATAATCTTGTTAACCAATTTTACATAAGTATAATGTAATGAAATTGTATAAACAGTTTACATTATGCGAAATCTTTCAGAGCACTAAAGCGCATATCTCGACAATAGCTGTGAACGATGAAGAAACAGCGACGACATCGTTACCCATCAACCTCGACATACAGGAAGATCTCAACGACTCTTCTACAACGGTACGTTCTCAGTCAAAGGTGAAAAATATTCAGATTATCTCCTCAGATCTCGGTGTCATCGGCCCTTTTTTACCAAAACATGAGGTTCCTGGTGGAAGGTTTAGCCCGCGTCAAAAATGCCATCGTGAATCCTCCCCATGGAATTCTGACCTCGAATATTAATACAGATGGACTGACATAAAGTGAGGAAAAAGCAGGAAACCCGCCTCAAAGCTCCTTACAAAAAATTCCATGCTGAACGAGCTCGCCACGGCGAAAGCGAGGAAAGGTCATGGTCGGGCGAGAGTTCTCAGTTGCTGGTGCCGGCTCTTTTCCTTATCACCTCACTCTCACCACTTAAAGGCAGCGAGCGCGTTCATTTGATATCCCTACGCCCTCCTTAGATACCGTAGCTTCGTCGACAAGGGTGGAGGATGTACTAATTTCGCAGCTCAAAAATACGAGAGGATGGCGCCACCCGCTTGTGAAGAGGATGCCGCCCTCGCCCACCTAGCGCTGCATACTTCTTTGGCTTGCCCGCTTTCAAGAATAATGAGTTATGGAGCTCATATAACACGTGATCCAGTAGTGAAGAAAAAAGCAGAAAAAATCATGGAAACTGCCCTATATTGAACCTTATGCTGGCAAAGGGCGCGGATGTCTTCAGCTAGCGAACGGCGCTATCCTCTCGCCTTTTTGAGATGCAAAACTAGTACCTACTGCATCCTCATAGGGAGGGCTATGATATCCAGAGAGGGCGCGGGAACATCAAATGAGCATGGGCGCTGCCTTTGAAAACAGAGAGAAGTGCTGGTGGAACAACCGCGCCGCCATGAAGCCTTTCGAAATGCAAGTTTGGTGTGGCGGTGACCAGCAAGCGGGGCGGTGGCTTCCTCGCGAGCGGATCACGCTTTCCTCTCGTACTTTTTGGGCTACGAAAGTGGTAGATCCTCATGCTTGCGGACAGGACTACCCTAAAAAGGCGTCCGAACATCAAATTAGCGCGCAATGTGCCTTTAAATCAGACAAGTGACCACGACAGCTTCATCGGAGACGCCTTCATATCATTTCAACGCGGATTTCTGGGGAAGCATTCAAAATTTATGAGTACTGCTATGAAATTCCCAACACATGTTCTTCATTAGCCTTGTCGAACTCGCGTAAGATTCTGTTCGCTCAAGGGATGTTCTCTGAAGTGATATCGAAAAAGTTCAGAAGATTAGATTGAGGAGTGGATGAAAAGTAGACTATCAAGGCATGCTCGAGAAGGGTTGATGGGGGTAAAAATGTGTGCGAGGCGAGCAAAGATGTTCTGGTGAAAGAGTTGAGATGTAAGCTTCAGAGGGGGGGGGGGGGTGAAGGAGGTAATAATATGAAGGTCCGAGTTCCGATGGATTCTCTGTATTCCAAGGATATATTTTGGGGTAGTTATCAACAAATGTCAAGCAGTTAGACTGAGGAGTGGCTGATAAGTTGGCTCCTCAATCCAAGGAAATGCTGTAAGCGCCACACTGGTCTCTCCCTCTCCTGGCCGGCTTGTCATATGGCTTGTCATCACGTAGGAGTGGGTTGGTTTCGAACCAAACCACGCTCGTACCTGCTTACATCTACTTCTCTCTAATTCTACTTGCTCTGTTGACCTCCTTAAAAACTTCTCATGAGGCCTGAGAATGCCGCAGGGAGCTTCATAGAAATACTTTTATTTCAGACACTAACACAACAACAACAGCAACCGCAACAAGTAACCCCGCCACTTCCAAATATACCACCACCACCTACGGAACACGTACAAAAACATCAGGACTTATTAAGATTTATAATGGAAAATCATCTGGAAACCTCGTGAGTTTCTATTTATAAGGTCTTCCAACGCTTAATTATAATAATTACTTTGCAATAATTCTGCGGCCTTGAGCTGGCAAAACCTCACATGGGGGATGGGCGTTATGGTAATATTAAGGCGAGCTGATCGTTCAGCACGACCACCTCCATTGCTATTTCAGGTACGACCCCCTTCCACCTCGAGGTCCAGTCAGCCTTGCTTGCTGCGATTGCTGGGGCGTGTCAGGGTGTGGAAGCTCTGTTTGGCGCTGCGCCAGCTTCTTTTCCACCAACCTTGTCCTCGAGCCCATTTCAGGCAACTAGTGGAGAACGGGTTAGCGCGACGTCAATCCAGGGCACACTCCTCTTGACGTTCAGCACGCAGGAACAAGGATGTTCTTCCTCAGTTTTGATGCCCGGCAATGTTTTTCCGCGGAAGCTTGCGACGTGGGGACAGCCTTCCTTTCGCCCATTGGAGGGCGGGACTGTAAACTAATGCGACAAACCATCGAATTGCGACGTGGTTGTAGCTTACCAGGAGTGTTTCTAACGCACTTCAATTATTCCGCGAATGTCTGGAAGAGGGTAGAGCGTATTACAGTTTATGAGCTTGTTTTCTGAGAGTTGCGAGATTAGTCTCCTCATTTCCTAGCATTTAATTCAATCAGGAGAGGCTATAAAGGCTTCAACGTAAAGCAAGGAATCGTGTGGCGTCAGAATCATTTGGCTATTGGCAGCTAAGGACATGGCGCTCAGTAAAAAGTGGCGAAGGGACCCGGATCGAATTTGACTATTATTTTTGGCTGGCTTCCACTCACCGATTTCTATTTTGTTTCAGTCGTAAATCCTTGACAGACAACAGGGACTATGCGCAAATGGTTTTGAATTCAAACTAGTAGAGGGCTGATGACAGGTCACTTCTGCCGTTGGGAGATTAGGTGGACGTCTGCTTCCCATAATTTCTCTTCTTAAGCCCCTCCCTATCAAATCTTGGTTGATAGCGCCGCGTGAAAAGGGTGAAATCAACTATTCGAAAAATGTGTCAGCCGACTGAACCCTTTCCTGCACTGACCAAATACGAGCGCGCGTAGGGATTCCCCAGCGTAGACATGCTCTTGACGAGTGAGATGCTCACATCCCATATAAGGTGGAACACGACGAAGGACACTGTCGCAGTGTCACGACATTCGGGGATAGAGCACTTGATTAAACCACGTGGCAGTCATACAGTATGTCAAGCCAATTAGCCAGAAAGCACTGTGCTGCCTGCTGAGCGTTGTCTCAGCTGGACTGGAGGTTAAACTACGCACATCAATGGCAAAGCGGTTCAGGTGGAAGACTACCTGGTCAATAGTAGGCTCATATCCATTCTGAAGGGGGAACCCCCACGGTCATTCCAAAGAAGTCCCTGAAAGCACATAGTTTGGGCGAGGTTGGGCCCATCTTTGCACTCATACTGTAACGCCCCTCTTCTGCATGGTAAAGACGAAGGAAGGTTGGGAGTAGGCCTGACTCTGTCCAGCTGACAAGCGCGGACTGCTCTCTCGAACTCTATAAAATGATGTCTTATCAGCGAACAATAACTTCTTTCTCAATTTTTTTCTCTAGATTTCTAAACATGCAACTTTCTCTGACTTGATAAAGGAACAGTCATGATCCGTTCAAGCGGTAGGCGTGGTGTGTTTTGGAACGTAGCCAGTGCGGCCTTTTTCCACGAATGATGCCATCCTGAGCTCGCTATAGTTGGTGGGAAATTTATCCTCGCTACGCTCCAAGCCGCCCCCCCTCCATTCGTTTGCAGGACCATGATTGTAGCCAGTGAAAGTATGCCTTAACGCAGACATTTTTTCAGAGACGTGTAAATGGAGGATTCCTTGAACAACCTTCTCCCTCTGCTCAGTGACATGCCAAAGCGATAGTATTCTTTTCACTATTTGTATGTATATTCATTGTTTTTTTTTCTTAATTGTTGCAATTTATAGAAATTGATATGACACGCATTTTGCATTTGGATTATTCACAATTTATCATTTGTGCCTTTCGCATTTTCAGAACTTGTGATTATTGTGCAATATATTTCAAATCTTCATCGAATGAAGTTTCATAATGGTTGAATCTAGAATTATGACTTTCAGAGTGTAAGAAAATAAAGTAAATAACAAAAATATATAAATAATCGAACAAGTAGACACGCAAGTAAAAGAGAAGACATCTGGACTTGTATGTGCAGAGACCAAAATCAAAAATTAGGAGATGGTTTGAATAACACGATAATCTCGCCGCAAGTTTCCATTTTTGTCATTCTTTGATGGTGATTTGCTATTTGTAACCCTTTTTTTCTAAACCGGACGGAGAAAAACGCTCAAAACGATGAGGAAAAATAGACCTTCCAGGCTTGATACCTGTGGGCAGAGTCAGTCCTAACGTTATGCTTTCCTTATTGATTGTATCGCATTTCTAAGAAAGATAGGACGTCCCACATGACAAGTGGCGCGCTTATCACTCGCGCGGTCGCTGGTATCTCGGAATGCGATCCTCGCCCAAGCCTAAAGCGTTTAAGCCCTTGAGCACGATAAAATTGGTATCGAAAGAATTTCGCCGCGCAAGTAATTGTTTAGGCGACATAAAGCAATCATAAGTCACCACGATTCTGAATGGAAGTATTAGGGTGTCCACAAAGTTCTTTGGCCATTCGTTTTTTCAGAGCTGGTAAAGATATCTCACCAAGTTGAACTTACCGGTCCATGATATAATCTCCATGCATACCCACTACCTTTCGCCAACGATCGGGTAGAGAGGCAACTCCATCCTCCCAAAAGCTGGCCGGCCGCGACTCGGCCCAGTCCTCGATCACGTCCTCGAGGTTCGGCATCGTATCTTGCACTGTTTCCGTCGCAAACGTTTATGCATAGACCGGAAGATGTGGTAATCGCATGGACTAATGATCGGGCTATATGGTGGATGCGTGAATCGTCTTCGATGCCCAGCCTGTCCAGGACGGCCTGAGTATCTCTCGCTTTGTGGGGGCGCGCGTTGTCCCAGAGCAACCACGGATTTGCAAGTTTCTGGGACAAGGCGGGGCAGCTTCACCTTGACCTCCTGCAGTTCTTTAGAGAGGGTCTCTGCCGTCACTGTGGCATTGTTGGGTAGGATGCTGTAGTGGACGACGCCGTGGCGAGAGAACCAGAAACCTCGGCATATCTTCGATGCCATAGTTTCCATTGGTGAGGCGAGTCCCACCATTTTGACATCCAGTTCTTAGAAGGGGTGTTATTACCAAACTGCTGACGCATCCTGGTCGTGGCCTGACGTCTGGAGATGCCCAGGTTGTAGTAGTCCAGCAAACATCGGCGGTGGTGGTGACTATCACTCATCTTCACTGCTTTATTGTGGGAAGAGCAGGAAAGGAAATTTAGAGCTAGCTAGCTCAGAAGATAGCCCATCGCGAGTACTTTCAGTATTGCGAAACCATTATGCAAAATCACAACGCGTTGCGTAACGCGACGCTGTTTACAAATGGCCAACGAACTTTGTGGACACCCTAATAAATCGTGCCGCATCATCATCTTAAAAGAACTGATCAACGGCAAAGACTCAATCCTTTACCTATCGGAATTTCTTAAGTAAGGAAGACGATGTGCCTCAGTGAGGAACCAGCACCCGATACATCTGGCTACAGCCTTTAAGAGCAGCGTTTTGGTTGTGGCTTTAAACTCCAAAAAAGAAGTCTTTCGATCAAATGATCAATCTCTTATGGACTACCCGGAGACGGGTTGGTTGGCTGGGCCGGAGCCGATCCGGATCTGCCCACTGGACGTGGCGCTCAGTGAGCGTGACACTCGCTTCTGCACCATCTCTGCCTCGACTACACTTTAAGATGTTCAGGCCAAGTGCACCTATGTAAGTAGGGAAGTCGACTGAATTATAAGTTTAGGAAAACAGGCGGGGTACAGTACCCCAAAGGCATAAATGAGGCGTAGGACAGCACCCTCGTGGTTCGCCTGGGCAGCCCCTGGAATGGTCAAAAGCAGGAGTTGCATAGCTCGCTAGCTCGCCCTTTCTGGCCCAACTCCCGAGCTTATTTTCCCCTTCCATTGCGCGCATGAGCGTACGTGGTAATATTTCCTAATAGCAGTCCTTAGAAAGAGACAGTTGGGTGACTATCAAAACCCATACAGCATCATAACTGATGTTGCCTATTTCAAAATAAGAGGAGTCCTCATGCCGGCTCTGGTTTCGCTTGCGCTTGCTGCGGCCGACGTAACCGCGTTAATCTGTCCGCTTTGGCAATACTTTTTTTGCTAGCGTTGTGCCTGGCTGGACCACTAATGATCGCTGCCAGTTCACCTACAATCACAGAGCTGATATCGGTCCTGATAGCAGTTTTGATTACCTTATACCGGCACAGGATACGGAGCATTTCAAAGCCCATTTGGGTGCGACACCCTGGACCGCGGGTATCGGTCCTAATGGGGAACCAAAATAGGTTCCCCATTAGGACCGATGTACCCGCGGGCCAGGGTTTCGCACCCAAATGGACCCGAATTTCAACGATTTGCTCGGTTGATGCCATTTTTCCAGTGAGGTCGATGACACCATCAGAACCATGAGTATGGTACAAGGATATTGAACCGTACCCCGGGAGTCCACTGGAAACTGATCTGTTCCGGGCCACATCGAGCAACTCTATTTTCAGTTCAGTATCGAGAATACCTTGCTCGCAGTCCTGAGCGTATTGGTAACGACGGGTCCCTTGATTCTGACAATGGGCAAATTAGGGACAGTTGCCCTATGCTTTTCATCTCCCAAGTCTTTCAACTGTTTGTAAGCGAGTGTTCCTATTTCACCTCAGCGTTTTGATCGCACGGTAGCGCCTTTAGCGTTTTTAGCGACCAGGAAAGTATAGGTACCGATCTAGCATTTTGAGCGCACGTCAAGTACGCTAAATCGATACCTATTCTTTCCGCTAGTTGCTCTTAAACGCTCGAAACGCCCAAACGCTACCGTACGCTGAAATGCTGACGCACAGTATGAACCCAGCCTAAAACTCACCAAATCACCTGAAGATGGGCGTTTCAGTCACTCTGCTGAAACTAGTTCGCAATATAATTGATAAGTAGCCTCGAAGAACTCCCGCCTAGGACGCTTTTGAGGGCTAATTTTTTTATTTCTCCTTTTTAACGCATGATCTAAAGGTCTCCTTCCTACTACCTGTAAATGGGGACCGCGAGCGCTGCGTTCAAGGACTGGGGACGCACAGGGAACTTCTCAATGGATCTTCTCAGTGTTCTGGAATATACGACTTTCATTTTGAATATCCAAAGCGAATCGAACACAAACCAAATCGGACACCTTTCTAACCAAGTTGGACATACTCCAAATCGGACAGTTGATGAAGTAGACCGTACCAAATACTCCCGCGAGCTCCACCCCAAGATCCCGCCCACTTTCTGGTCATGGTTTTTCAAAACTCGTTTTATAAGTTCTGCATCGGTGACCTTTTTGCGTTTTTGCTAATTCGTATATAAACACTAGCCTAGAAGGATTTGAAGCGAGCATACCATGTGGACCTCAAGGCACGCCTACCTTTGCGTTTTTTCACAGAAAATTAAAGTTCTCTAAAGCTTTTAAAGTTTTTTTCATTGGAATTCTCGCCTTCTTGGGTTATAACAGGCAGCTCCGCCCACATCACAGAAGCCCCTCCCACTGCTGGAAAATTGATCAGAATCGGTAGTTCGAATTCCCAATTCGCAGCTCATGATTTCGTTTTCCATTCAGGTCAAACATTGGCTGCTTTTTGTTCCGGGCGGCGGGGAACATCCTTCTTTGTTCTCAACAGCCAGTTGAGATACCCTGCGGATTTGTATAAATTTTCAAAGGTGGGCGGGCCCTCCGCTGAGTGGGAGGACCTTCTGAGCTGAGCAGTTGCATTCACAGTTAAAATTTTGCAAAAAAAAACTATTGAAAATTCTCGAGAAGACGCACATGTGAGTGTGCCTAAAAGCGCACAACATATTAACACCGATCTTGCTAGATTTGTGTCCATGAGCAGTTGCGAAATAGCAAAAAAACGAACTATTTACAAAGGGAGAATTTACAGAAAGCATTTTGAAAACATGACCGCGCTGAAAAAGTGGGCGGAACGCTGGGCAGGCCTTGCGGCCGTGTCCACTGTGGTTTTTTTAATCAACCACCCGATGCAAAATGTGTCCAATTCGACCTTGAAAGTGTCCAAATCGGGTTGAAAATGTCCAATTCAATATGAAAGTGGTATGTATTGCAGCAATCGCTTCTGTTTCTCCCCAACCCAATCCACATTCACCTTCTTTCGCCCCACCTGCTGTACTGTCAGAATGCCCAATTACTTATGTAAATGTTCTTTAACTCTTCTCCAACAAAACATTTGGCCAGAATGGCATGTATCAAGTTTCTAGATGTGCACAAAACAACTAGCAGAAATCACCAATTAATTGAACGAAAACTGCACACTTCAATTTACAATACATG